TAATGTGACAAAATATGGAAAAGTTCAAGGGGTATGAATACTTTTGCAAACCACTGTATTTGCTCCATCCGCTCCTGTGGTTGTGTTCATTCTCTTCTAAACTCGTCCAGTTTCTTCTTGTATCCTTCCCGTGTTCCGTTCGGTCGTTGATCTTTATCATTCTTTCCRGACTTGCTCCACATTGTGCTCTTGAGCTTGTCAACCCATGTCGTTGATGTCTGGATAACGGTGATATGGAAGCCTCGATTCGCCATGTCTTTAGTTGCTTCAGCTGCAGAGTTGTAGACTCGCGTGTTGTTCTCGTAGAATACTCTCAACTTGGCTGAGAACGGTGTTTGGAATTTGATCTTTTTTTCCTTGAGGACCCGCTTCACTTCGGTGTACTCGCGTCGCCGTTTTAACACGTCTGGAGCATAATCGTGGTCCACTATGACTTTTCTCCCCTCCACCGTGAAGCCTTTCTTTTGCCAGGCTCGTTTTAGTATTTCGTCTTTTACCTTAGATGTGCCGAACTTGACTATTATGGAATGTGGGGGGGCTTCAGGTGGAGCTCTGGGTCCCAGAGAGCGGTGAGCTCTTTCAATGTTCAGGTCGAGTGATGTCGGAATGGCCAGTTTGTCTCGGAGTAGATTTTCTATGAAGTCTGAGACAGACGATGAGCCATCCTCAGAGCCCTCCACAATGCCATGGAGCCTCAAATTGTCCCTTCTCGATGTCCCCTCGAGTTCCACCAGCTTAGCCTTGAATTCGTCTTGTACTTTACTTAGCTTCATAGCTACCTCTTCGAGCTGCTGAATTCTGTTCTCCGCTTCCAAGATGCGCGTTTCTGCCTCGTCCAGTCTTCTGTTTACATTTTTTTAATCTCCTCTTTAACCTCTCGGAAGCCATCGCCATTTTCTCTATGTGATTCTCTTAGTTCTTGGAGAATAGTTTGTAGATTAGCTGTCTCGTTAGCTGAGTCGTTAGCCGCTAATGATGCTTCCGAGTCCGAGAGGCTAGCCATACCTTCTTCGTTCGTTTCTTCTTCTCTTAACGTTGGTTTTTGGGACAACAGAGTGCTCCTTGATTTGGATTTGGGCATTCCGGCTCACTTTTAACTTTGTTTTATATCCTGCATTTGTAAATAATCTTTGCTTTTTTAAAAATTGTCGGGGAGCCACCTGGTTAAGCTGTCGCCATCTTGCTTGCTTACCCGGAAGTCAATACACATGATTTTACCTATTTTGTCACATAACTGGCCTATTTTCTTTTGAATTTGTCTCAGCCAAAGTAAAACAGGAAGTGACATCAAAGGGGAACTCTTTAATAAAATAACATATTTAGTCTTTGTTTATTAAAACAATATCATTTAAACTTTAATGCTGCGTTCACACCGAACGCGATTTCAGCTTCAAAATCGCAGCCAACGCTGAAGTTGGTCACTTGTGCACTTTGAGGTCAGACGCAGGTCAGCTCTTGAAGCACTGCACGGCAACAGCCTCCCCGCTCCTCTCTCCTCTGTCGGGCTCTGTTTAATGTTGGACG